AGTAAGTTTTAAGAGTGTTAAAGTGAGCCCTGGTTTTCAACTTTCACGATTTACTAGTGACTAGTGTTCTCTTTTATTTGATTACAGTCACTGATGAGGTGATACATGATCCTTGCGTCTGTTTTTTATTTCTTCTTCCTAAAATTGTTATCTATAAATATATAAAATAGGAGGACTTTTTCTTTTTCTCTAGGGAATCTAGAGAACTGTTTCCCTTTCTGAAATAAAGATTAAAGGATCTTGTAAAAACATGTATTCTAGTTCCCTAACATATTGTATTACTTGGCCCACTCACAAACAATCATGCGTTTCTCTTCACGTCACCCCAGTAAGATTGGGAAATGCTGGGCTCTATTTTACGAGCAGGAGCCAGAGCCAGAGCCAGAGACAAGATCTTTTCTTCAGGTGAGGTGGAAACTGAGCCAAGATTTGAGCCAAGGGCTGCCGAGTCCTCTGCTGTAAGACGATAATTTCTCTTTACCTATTAATGAATTTATTCACTACTACTCTGAAAGTAAAGGTTGGAACTCATGCGTAGTGTGGAACACTTACTGTGCCTCACAATTTATGTTTTTTTTTATCCTCGGTACTCACAGGATAAAACTTGAAATTAAGTGTGAAATTCAGGTGACACAGAGGGTTTGACTCTAATTACCTAAATATACGTGCTGAAAGTCATCTGGGATGCCCTAGAGCGCCTGAGACGCCTCTTCATGTCTGGCAGGTCTGAGACAGGACTTGCAGGGAGTCCTTTGCCTCTCTAGACTGGCTTCTGGAGCTGAAACAGGGATCTCCAATGGAAGAGATTCGGTTGTCCACGCATAAGTGTGTGGAGTTATATTAAACAACTGTATCCTGCCCTACTTCCTGTGTTTAGATAACTAAATGACAGCCTAGTAGTCTTCATGTTCAATTCTTTATGTAAATCCTTTGTTTACTGACCAGCAGTTAGTCTTCTGCTTACATCTTATCCATTTAAAACTCTCCATCTGAATTAATTCAATGACACTTGAAAAGCAGGTTACAGCTTTTAAACACATCTGAGAACTGCCAATAAAACAGCCAGCAGAGAACCGTGTATATCACAGAATTAGCATAGCTGTCTCCCACCCCTGCTATTTACATGCTGGATTCAGTAGCCTGTCAGAAGTTGCTTTGAAAAAAGCAGCTAATTATTGGAAACTGTAAATGCACCGACTTGGAATGAGGCTTCACTAGATCTTGCCCTGCTTAGTTAAAAATGCCATGCAATATAAATGAATAATGGAATTCAATTATAGAATTTGAATTTGTATTTAGACCTGAACCCCAAATGTTCCTATGATTCTGCAAGCTATCTATCTCATTTGTTTTTAGTTTACTTCATCAATTATTAGAATAATGTCATGGGGAAAGTCTGCACAGTTTCTATGAACAGTCAGATGAAATGTGATTTCTTGTGTCTGTTTGGACAAGTAACAGCATTCCTTGAATTTCAGCATATTCATCTGTAAAACGTGCACAATAATACTGTAAAGGTATTAGCTGGCAAATGGATTCGTTAGTGGCAATAAAGCCACTGTAAAAGCAGAGAAAAAAACTGTTTCAAATTTTAAATATACTTTAACAAGCTTCATAGCACCTTGGTGGGAGAGGGGGGTTAAAACTGGTATAATGGATAAAATGAAGCAAGATGCCTTCAGTTAAGTTAAAAGTAGCCCTGTGTAAGTAGAGTGCTGTTGGAGCTTCAAGATCAGCATAAATTCAGAGCTGAATATTTAAAGTAAGCCAGGTGCATTCCATTGTGTGAAGTGCTCCAGCATGCAGAGCAATATGACAAATGAGGTGGACGTTCAGCAGATTTGTCATGGCCCATGGGAGGCAGAGGAAGCTGCTGTGGCAAGTATGGATGAAGGAGAATTTGTAGGGTGTCTTTGCTCCTAAGGATTTTCAAAATAAATGAAGATAAATACTTGCTTCCTTTTAAGCATCTAAGGTAACAGTGACTTTTTGCCCTAAGAAGCATTATGTGTCTGCCATGTGCAGAGAGACACTCTCTGAGCATACAGCGATGGGGTTAGGAAAGCTAAAGCCCTCCTGGAATTGAATCTGTCAAGGGACATAAAGGGCAGCAATAAAGGCTTCTACATGTACATAAGCAGCAAAAGGAAGGCTAGGGAAAATGTGGACCTGCTGGAAAATGGGGCAGAGGCCTTGGTGACAAAGGACATGGAAAAGGCCGCTGAGACCCTGAGGGGAAGTCTGGAGCAAGGAAGACTTACCCGTGGTGGAGGAGGATCAGGCCAGGGAACACTTGAACAAACTGGACATACACAAGTCCATGGGCCCTGATGGGACCCACAGGTGCTGGGGGAGCTGGCCCATGTTGTTGCAAGGCCACTCTTGATTATCTTTGAAAGGTCATGGCAATCAGGGGAGGTTCCTGAGGTCTGGGAGAAAGCAAATGTCACCCCTATCTTCAAGAAGGCAAGAAGGAGGATCCAGGGAACTACAGGCCAGTCAGCTTCACCTGAATACCTGGGGAGGCAAATCCTCCAGGAAACTATTTCTTTGACCAACCTGCTAGCCTTCTGCAATGAGATAATGGGCTTGATGGGTGAGGGGAGAGCGTCTTGCCTTCAGCAAGGCTTTTTGACACTGTATCCTCATAGACAAACTGATGAAGTATGGACAAGTGGACAGTGAGGTGGATTGAAAACTGGATGAATTGCCAGGCTGAAAGGGTTGTGATCAGTGGCATGAAGTCCAACTAGAGGCCAGTCACTAGCAGTTATTCCCCAGGGGTTGATACCCAGGTGAACACTGTTTAACATCTCCAACAGTGACCTGGGCAGTGGGACAGAGTGCACCCTCAGCAAGTTCAGAGGTGATACAAAAGTGGGAGAAGTGGTTGAAACGCAAGGTGGTTGTGCTGCCATTCAGAGGGACCTTGACAGGCTGGATAAATGGGTTGACAGGAACATCATGAAGTTCAGTCAAGGATGATCTGCACCTGGGGAGGAATAACCCCATGCACCCTAAGTACAGGGTGGGGCCAACCAGCTGGAGAGAAGCTTTGCAGAGTAGGACCTGGGGGTCTTGGAGGGACAACAAGTTGAACGCGTGCCCTTGTGGCAGAGGAGGCCAATGCTATCCTGGGCCGCAGGATGTGTATAGATATTTGACAGGGAAGAGTAAAGAAGACAGAGCCAGACTCTTCTCAGTGGTGCCACCAGTGTGACAAAACAAGAGGCACTGGGCACAAATGGAAATACAGGAAATTCCATGGAAACAAAAGATTTTTTCACTGTGAGGGTGGTCAAACACAGGACCAGATTGCCCAGAGAGGTTGTGGAGTCTCCATCCTTGGAGATATTTGACATATGACTGGACACAGCCGTGAGCAACCAAAGTGCCACAGTCCAGCCCAGAGTTAATTCTGTTGGCCTCTGTGGATTTTGGACCAGGCCCTAATGGAGGGATCTGTCCTTCTCTCAGTTCATCCAGGCTTGTAGGAAGAACTTACCATACGAACAAGTAATTTTCATCAGTGTACCATTACAATGAGATGTTTAACAGCACACACAGAGAATACTGAGCACCCTTCTGCATGTGCTGTGAGGCAAAGAGAAGTAGATCAACAAAACGTTGTCCTTGACACTTGTACAACTGCATTTTTAACACCAAAAATACAGTTGGTACTTGCTTTAAGTAAGAAAAACCATCTGCGGAAGTAAGAGAAAAAAGCTCAGAAAATAAGTTTTAGAAAATCATGCTTTTTGCAAACCTGTTCCAAATATATGGTCAAGGTAGCCAGGGAGGAGCAGTAAAAAAAGCAGATGGGTAGGCCAGGAGGATATACCCACTTGCTGCGTCACACTCAGCATATTTTCTTTAGAGGCTTTGGAAGGAAATGAAAAAAATCTTGCCTGACAATTTCCTGTTTATCAATGGAAAACTGAATTGAGTTCATTTTTTATTTTGATCTGAATCACTGGTTGCTTTCTTGAGGAGACCCCAAAAGCCGAAGCAAAGGTTATTAGGAAAGCAAGTGACTCACCAAGGGAAATGGGTTCCTCGTTGATGAGGTCCATGTTGGGTAATCTTCAAAGCAGGTGTAAGCCACTGCTTTGTCTATGGGAATTTGTGTTGCTAGACATGAGATTCCACATTTGTGCCTGGAAGGACAAACATTTGAAAACTTTGCACAAGGGTATCTGTTTTATTTAGGGAATATTTGGATTGTTAAACTGTTAGCACATTCAGCTCCGCTATCTTCAGAATCACAGCACTGAAATGTAGTCCAGGAATTAGAAGTAGGCCTGGGACTTTGAGTTCAAGGAACTAATTTGGTCTGTATGTGCACAATCAGCAGATCATCACTCACTAATGTGTTTCCAATGATGTTTTTCAGCTACTGGTAAGTTTACCAGAAGCAGCCAGGTGATTCCTGTGGCTAGCCTGGCTTTCCAGCCTTGATAGCCTATAGCTATCATTTACTGAGTGCCCAAGGACCAATTGTTCCTTTACCTCTGATTCTCACAGACTATCCTGAGGCTTGCATTTTATTACTTCCATATGTCCCTTGCTGCACGGAGCCTCGCTAGGTTAACAGTTTCTTAACTCTTGGTGTGTTTTGCCTAAATATCCTCTGCTGATCTGCCAACACATCTGGGGGCAATCAAGTAGTTTTCCTTTTTGACTGGAAGCACTGGCTGTTTATTCACAGGAACACACACACAAACATGGACAAATATGCATGCAGCCACTGAAGAAAATACAAAGTTCCTGTAATATAGTATCTTGTTGCCATTGTGGTCCTGAAGGAGGGAGGATCTGCACTTCTTTTCGAAGATCCTCTCTATTATATTCTGAAAGTACCATCCTAGGGAAAATTTGCCTTGCAGAACCTTCTGAAACAAAATAAAAACAGTTATAAAATCCAGGCCACTGGGCCTTGCAACTGTGATACAGCCATACTGAACTAGGGAACTCACTATTATCATTTTTTACCATTACAGGATTCCCAGCAGGAGAACTGCAAAAGCCTTTCTTTTGGGGAACAGAGTACCCCAGGTAAGTAGTGCACAAGGGAACCTCTTACAGGTGGAAATGAGGAATAAAAGGGAAAGGTATTAGAAATACATATAGAAAAAGAAGAGGACATGGAGAAAAACAATATATGGCTAAAGATGACCAACAGGTAGCTCACAGTAATGCTGTGTTGTCATTGTATAGGGAAAGCTTGGCCCTTGGGTTGTGTGTCCTTCCCTGCTGTGTGCTGCTTTTGCTGTTGAGAAACTAGACTTTGAAGGCTGCTACTTTGTGTGATAATGTTTCTTACCCTTGGGAGCTGTATGTGCTGTTGTTGTCTTAAACTGATGACTGATTTCTCTCAGGAATTGGTAATTAAGTGCATCTAAGTGGAAGTGTTTCAGTGCTATAGCAAGCAGATGCAGCAGTGTGCACATGGCAGATACTAAAAGGAACTGTAGATCAGGTATCCAACACTTCGAGAGAACTGAGTACCCTGAGAAGCCAGGTATTATCAGTTTATTGTTTGCTTTCTGCTAAAATCTAGAACTAACTGTCAGCCTTCTCCTGTGGCTGTTGAGGTGCATGAGAATATCTCCATGTGTGTAAATGGTTGCCCGAGCAGCCCCATGTGCTACTGTTGCTGAAGAATAATTATAGGTCACCTTTAGTTAATTTTGAAAAATCACTGCTTTTATGCAGTTCAATAACTTCATATATTAGGGAAGGAGAAGATTATAAAAAGTCTCTGACAGCAGTTTCTGAAAGTTATTTTAGAGTTATGTAAAGCCAGTCTAGGTGAAACACCTCATTCATAAATCTCTATTTAAAAAAATTTTTTTTGGAAACATTTTGGGTTTGCCGTTTTCAAATCTGGATGTATCCATGTCAAGAGGAAATTTGGCAGTATTTGTAAAGAGACGCATTCAATTTAGAAACAAATGAATTTGCATTCAAAGAGAATTCTTTTGAGCCAGGTGACCTTAAGTGGCAATTAGGAAGAAAAGAAAGTCCTTTCTAGTTAAGGAGAACTTATTTTCTGCTGTTGTTATTGCAGACCTGTTTCTAGCTTTGCTTTCTGAAGAGATTTCTCTGTACCTTGACCTTCTGCCATAATGATAAAATTGTGGTTCTTTCAAAGAATTATGCTTTGCTCATTTCTCTTCTTTAAAGGTTACCTTAACTTAAATTGGTTTTGCTTGCATACTTATCAAAATGATATTTAGTAAACAAAGGTAGCTGTTTCATATCAGACAACAGATTGCTTTTGTCCTTGAAATATTCCAGCTCTGTTTTCTGTCTGCTTAAAAGAAATAATACATGGCACTGGCATAAAAAAACCACCAAAAAATCATTAGTACTTGCTGAGAAACAGATTTAGCAAATATTTAATATGTAGTGGAGTTTCAGTGTCCAGTTCCAGCATATAAAATCAGCTGCACCTATTTGCATAAAGGGAAGCTTAAGTTATCACTTTACACGCCAGTGCACAAAATAAAATGCCATTCAAATGCCATCATTCATAGTTGGGAGTCTTCAGCGCCAGGCATATTGAAATAGAGACTTCAAACCACCTGAGTCAGTCCCTTCCCTACAGTCCTCTGAGCCTTCCCAGTCCCAAAAAGTTCCTTGCTAACATGGTACCGGTTGGGCTGCCCCTAACCCTCCCCATCTCTGTCCAGCTGGAAGTGAAGACCGTAAGCAGAGCTTCTGGCAAAAATGCCGCTGTGCTGAACAAAGCACTCAAGGGGGTTTGCAGAAGGAAAGGCCAAAATTCACCCAAAGCTTCACCCCAGCTGGGGAGGTCTGAGGAGCACTGGGACACCCCCCTGCCATTTCTGCTTGGCCAAAGAGGTGTAACGGTAGTGCGGACGTGGATGGGGCTGCCCAGGGAGGTGCTGTGCTAATAGTGGGCACCTTTGAGATGCACCTGACTGAACACACTGCTACCATGAATATAAAACTATTCTTGGACTACTGGCTAAGCCTTAGAGAAAAATAAGACATGCTTAGCTATAGGGCTTAGTTAAGGGACCTCTTTACATGTTTTGTGCCGTTGCTTTTGTACTTCTCCAGCTGCAAAAGATCCCATGTGACCATTTTACTTCAGATGTGGAAAACAAGTGTAATATAGTACATTTAGTATGGATAATTATCACTGTGTGCTACACAAGATTGCAAATTTGTCACACAAAAGGATGATATTTCCATTGCTGACATGTATAATTTTAACAAGCATTTTTAAATGAAGGTTTGCAATAGTAGCGGGGGAAAAAAAAACAGTAGGGAAGATTTTATCACATGCAAATTACCTTTCAGGAAAGAAAAAAAGAAAGTGAAGACTTATTATAGGAGCAGGGGGAATTAAATCATATAATACTTTTTGGGCATGACTGGGATAAGCAATTAGCATGTTATGGATCATTAAGTCCAGTAATAACATGTTACTTCAAAGCCCTCAGCCTTTCTCCTGTTTCAATACAATGTGTTAGAAATACCCTAAGCTACTCTGAGGTATAGCATCTCAATAACTGAAATAACTAAAGTCACAAAGAACAATCTAACAAGTGAAATATGTGTTTAGTGGATAGCTTCCCGTCCTCCCACCATCCGCTGCATTTGGTATCAGAAAACCTTGAATCAGAATCTCTCCCTTGTTCATCCCTCTTTCTCCCAAATGCATGTTTATTCAGATGCAACCAGGAAAATATAATCCATTGTCAAACAAGAATACAAAATATTTCTTTCTCTTCTGGTTCTCCGCTGCATTAGATTTGATTGTAGATGGTGTCCTGCTCCTGCGTAGGTGAAAGGAAACTGTATGACCTCTCTTTTGAAAACTGAACGGAGATCTGTGTAATGCTTCACAAACTGGTGTCAGTCATTTGCAAGTCTGTCTGTTGCATGTCAGAGAAGAATGATGAGAGCTGGCATTACCCAAGCCCACTGCAGCCTTTGATATATGCTTTTTTTTTATGATTACGCTAAGAGAATAACTTCACTCGTGACTTTGTCCTGTTCTCAGAATATGCATAATGCAATTAGCTAGAAGAGACATTCTGGAGCACAGATGATGCTAAGCAGGGATTTGGTTATAAGAGTGCACCACTGCAATACTCTTCAAGGTTTTGTATTAAAAGTTCTTTTTAAACAAATGAGAATTTCACATTCCAATTTTAAGACAACATTTTGTAGATATTATTCTTAGCTCATCCCTCCCAATTAAAAAAATAATAGTCTTTCCTGAGGTAGAAACCTATTTCATCTTCTATCTTCTGTACTTCAGTGTTCATGAGTATGGATATGTTATAAGGGAAAATACTTATCTTATGTTACAGGTCTTTAAGCTATGGTGCCATAGGAGTAATTGTTGGCCATGAGTTCACTCATGGATTTGATAGCAATGGTGAGTATTTGTCCATATTTTGATAACTGTTCTTTTACAGAGTTGATGGATTAGAAAGATGACTTGCATATGTGCCAGATTTTTTATTTTTATTATATTTTTACACAATGTGGAATTGTATAAGGAAAATTCTGAAAGTTTTTTTTTTTTAAGTTATTTACATACACTCTTGCTTGCCTGAACCAGTTTTTTTTTTTTTTTTGGTAAGGAATGCCACAATTTTGAAGCTTTTTGTTTGTTTGTTTTCCAGAAAGGATGGAAACTAAATCAACTACAGATTCACAAAGTCCTGGCTGGTGGGGAGGAGGGAGGGGAAGGGGAGGCAAAGGGAGCACTTCTAGATAATAAAAATTATTTCTAACAAATGTTTTCATTTCCGTTTTAACATTTCAAAAGATGAATATATCAAAATACAAGACTTAAATAGAAATATATTGCAAAATTAAAAAAGAAGAAATGCTCTGAAGGTGTCAAAATAGACTTTATCAGCATTCCTGAAACACTGGGGGGGATGGGGCATTCCTACTAACTAACTTTGACTACTTTGGTAAAGTGCTTTGTAAAACAGAGCTCCCTTTAGAGAAAGAGAGAGGCAGCCTCTTCCAGAGAGCAATTTTCAGTGTCTGACTGATGTCCTGCTCTGATTCAATGTCTAGAAGAACCTCTCTCCACTGAATATTGGAAGTTTAAGGAAAGTTAAGGAAAGTTTAAGAAAGTGTAAGGAAAAGCAGGCTTTTAGCTCAGTGCCTAAATAGATTTAGGTTGTATATGGTACATTACTTTGAACACCTGTTAAAAATAAAAACTCATATCCTATTGGCACTGTTCTGTAGCATTTTGGTTTGGGTGAGAAAACACTCCCTAGTGGAAAAATGTTTCTTCACAAACTTGCACCTGCGCTATCACTTCCCTATCATACAGATTATTGTGCAGCAAGTACATCCATGTATTTGACAGTTCGATTTGATAAAGTTGGCTTCTGGAACTAGACCCTTCTATAGAGGATGTTACAGGACATGAGTACGTGCTAATTTTTTTCATTCTGCAGCTTGATGTGGAGGGCCTGGACTTGGTTGGTCTTCAGGCTGACCCGTATTCCCAAAAGGCTGATAGCCAGGTTTTAAATAGTCTTTTGGTGCAGTATTATGGACACAAGGCATGTTAGGACTTTTTTTGAGAGCAGATTTAGCTGTCCATGTAGATGCAGCCTTGCTCTGTGATTTGATTCTTTGTTATGCTTCCAGAAAAGAGAAGTAGGAAACAGCAGTAGAGACATATGCAACTGCAAGTGCATTTTGCAACTACAAACGTATTGAAGACATTTTTATCCCCCTACCCCTTTTTTTTCCTGAAATGTGCTGTCTTGTCTAAATTGATGCACTTCCTAAAAATGTATATGTTTCTGTGCTGGGAAGGTAAGAGCCTAGTCTGAGGGGTAGTGATCTGCTCTGAAAAGTCAAATTTTTAGGTTCCCGCTCTGATTGGCTATAGAGATGATGGAGATTAAATACTCTCCAATAAACCAGACAGACCAGGGATCTACTCTTCCATGAGCCACTGCTATAACCACCAATCTGGGAAATGTGATGTACGTATTCTCCTTGCTTCCATAAACATGCTTCAAATGTTCTGGTTTTGTTCCAAGGCAAAGAATGGAAAGTTCAGATGTTTTCCATGAAACAGATTTTTTTTTTTTTCTGGCCAAGTGTATAATTAATTAATAATAAATGAATTATCATCCAGTTTGCAGAATCAAAGACATATGGGCTACTCACAATTGTACTTACAGGAAAGCTCATGTGCCTGTTACACTGTGTAATTATAAGATGTACTATAGTACTTGTTAGTCATTACAACTTTGTTATAAATATGGAAATTATGGCAGTAAATGGAATACCAGCTCTTTACCATTAACTTCACTGAGCCAAGATTTTTCCCGCATATCCATTTTTTTGCACACATGTATACACATACACAGATAGGTTTAGCTCTCATTTTTGTGCAGGTGATAGATTCTAAAATTGGTAAAATATATTTTTTTCCAACAAGACAGTTTTCTTTCTTTCTTTCTTTGCTTTTCTTCTTTCTTTCTTTGCTTTCTTTCTTTCTTTCTTTCTTTTTTAGGTCGGAAATATGACAAAAATGGAAATTTAGACCCTTGGTGGACAACTGACTCTGAAGAAAAATTTAAAGAGAAGACAAAATGCATGATTAACCAATACAGCAATTACTACTGGAAGAGGGCTGGCTTACATGTATGTAAAATACCACTGACTGAAAGCTCTGGTTGGTTACAAGGTTTTTTTTTGTTTGTTTGTTTCTTGTTACTGTTTTTCTTTTTTTTTTCTTTTCTTTTTTCTTCTCTTTTCTCCTTTCTTTACTGTACTTTACTTTTCTTTACTTTCCTTTTCATCTATTCATAAACCGCAGCATATTGGGATGTCAGACTACCAACTTGATTCTCAGAACAAATCATTTTTTGAGGTGAATAATTGTAATCAAAATTGTCTGTCACATTTGATTAGTCCAGTCAAATACCACTACCCATACCCTGGTGACAGGGTTAAACTGCTTCTCACCATAACATCATTTTGAAAACAGAGGAAGAGGATAAAGCCACTCAGCAGGGCTGCTCTAATTGCTGTGAGCACATTAAATGTCTTCCAAAAGTGAGGTCAGTGATGAGGGCTGAGCAGTCATTTTTTTAAAAAAAAGAAGAAAATAGCATGTTTTATTAGATCCCTTTAGGAATTCTGCTTGTTATTTATTACTTTCATTACTACAGTTATAAAATGGATGCGTAAACCTTATGTTATTATTCCACGTTCAACTCTTTCTATTTCTTCCTTGCGTGCATGCAGACACAATTTGATCTTAAATGAAGGGAGTATGAAAGCAGTAGCTCATATAAAAGGACTGAGAAAGAAAAGGCAAGGAAACGGTCTCTATTTTATTGTCTGTCTGAAATATGGGCTCCTCTGAAAATGTGCATTTTCTGTAAGTGTCCCAAATGAAGGATAAATAGGGTAAATCCTAGACCTTCACAAATGAATAGCGATAGTTCCGTTGACTTTGGCTGGAATATGCTTTTCATCTTAGTTTTTAGGATAAAACACATACCCCCTCCTACTCTGTTCTACCCCTTTTACTTGCATTTTAGCATCAGAAGTACTTCTTTGCCTTTTAAGAATAAAGA